TTCTTCGTATTTCAAATCTTTGACTTGATTCTTGGGATCCTCTAGTCTGCTGTTGGATCTCTGTATATTATTCTTTACTTCAGTCAATGTATGCTTAATTTCTAATTGGTCCTTTTTCATATCCTTGAGGGTCTCACTATATTTCTTGGAGGTTTCTAGAAGATTCTTGAGTAACCTTATAACCGTGGTTTTGAACTCTATATCCAGTATTTGCTTTCCTCCATTTCTTTCATTTGTGACCTGTTTCTTTGTCTCCGCATTTTGGCTGCTTCCCTGTGTTTGTTTCTATATATTGGGTAGCTGCTAAGTCTCCTTGAGTTGATAGAGTGACCTTGTGTGTTAGGTGTCCTATAGGGCCCAGTGGCTCAGCCTTCCTAATTACCTGAGGTGTACCCTCTTGGTGAACCCCTTTGTGGGCTGTGTACACAGTCTTGTTGTAGTTAAGCCTTGATTGCTGTTGGTATCACTGGGAGGAATTGACCTCCAGGCCAATTGGCTATGAGGACACGTTGTGTCTACAGTGGGAGAACTTCTGTGCTGGAGACACCCTTATGGGGCAGGACTTGCTTCAGTGGGGCTTTGGCACTCACTGAGTTTGCCCCCTGAGTGTGTCTCTTATGGATGTGAAGAGTTGTAATCTGGATGGTCTCACTCTGACCACTGGGTGCACTGGCTCTTGGATCTCCAAGGAGCTGCAAAGTCAGCCACTGCCTGAGGCCACCCAGCAGGAGCTACAGAGAGATATGCAGATTCATCCTCTTTGTTTGGGGTTTGGAGGTGCCCAGATGAGGCCCAGATGTGAAGCAATGCAGGCTGCTGACGAGCCTTAGGCCTTCTTTTGGAAGCTCTGGGGTTCTCTGACCCAGCTGCAGTTTGACAGGTTTTTAGGCAGAGAAAGACCAGGCCATTTGTATGCAAATGCCTATGCGCACAGCTTGGGTGGGGTTGTAAATTGGGTGGGGCGGGGTCTCAGGGAATCACCAGGGCGGGGCAAACAGCAATGGTTGCCCGTCAGCCCTGCCCTGCTAGGTCCCTGGGTCTCTGTGTCCCACGGCCTGTGCAGGAACAATGACCACTGCAAGCACCTCTGAGAGAAAGCTGCTCTCATGTTCCGGCCCAATTCCAGATAGTCCAGTTTCTCTCCGTATGAGTCTGGGTCCCCAGATTCTTGCCCGTAACTAGAGTTCAGAGCAGTCGGGAGCTTGTATCTCCCTCCTGATTGAAAAAGAAAACAGAGTACCCAGTTGCCAGCCTCTTTCACACGCACCTCTGTACCTCTGCACTTCCGCACCTCTGTACCTCCTACCCGCTTCAATGCGCTTTTCTCTTTCCTTCTAGTTGTAGAATTTCCACTCAGCCAGCCTTCCTGTGGTTCTGGATGATATTCGTTTTGTCTTTTAGTTGTAGTTTTAATGTGGTTGTGCGCGGCAGCAAGTTCAGGTGTTTACCTATGCCGCCATCTTGGTCGTCTCAATAAATGTTTATTTAATGAGCAGAGACTGGAATTGGAGGAAGGAAATGGAAGGACAGGGATGGATATGAATTTTCCATATTGAGAAGAGAAACCTGGAGATAATTGGAAGGAATTCCAGATTATAAAGATGTGGATCTCAACCCTACCTGTGTAGGGGTTCACCTGTGAGAGCTCCTTATAAATGCAGAGGATTGGGGCTGGGCTCAGAGGGTGCCAGAATCCCTGTCACAATGCCAATCAAAGCAAATTTCTGCCTTTCCCAGTGTGTTGTTCCTTCAGACCACCAAAGGTGAGCTGGCCAAGCCACATGAACCCCTCAGTGCTGGCACGTGGGTGGGGGAATATTGGTGTGATGTGGCTTGGAAGTGGGGTTTTGTAGCATCTACCCAAGTGGGTCAACATTCATGATCTACAGCTCAGCTAATGAACATAAAGGCTAATTTCCCATTAAAATCTATGAAGATCTTGTATATCCATAAATAGAATATTATTCAGCCATAAAAAAGGAATGATATACTGACTCATGCCAGGTCATGGACAAACCTTGAAAACATTATGTCAATGAAGGAAACCAGACACAAAAGACCACATATTTTTATCAAATTTATTGGGGTGACATTGGTTAATAAGATCATACAGGTTTCAAGTGTAGATAGCTATAATACATGATCTATATATTGCCTTGTGTGCCCACCACCCAAAGTCAGATCATCTTCTGTCACCATATATTTGGAAAAGACCACATCTTGTATGATTCTATTTACATGAAATGTCCAGAATAGGCAAATCCATAGGGACAAAAAGTAGATTAGTGTAGTAGTTACCAGAAGCCAAGGGGAAGGGAGAGTGAGGAGTGATTGTTAATGAATACAGAGTTTCTTTTGGATGATGAATATGGTCTGAAATTAGATAGTGGTGATGGTTGCACAACTTTGTGACTATATTAAATACCACTAAATTGTACACTTTGAAAGAATGAATTTAAATGGTATGTGAATTGTATCTCAATTGAAAGAAATCTGTGAAAATGAGTTGGTAGAAATAGCTGCCGATGGAAGCAGTACCTCTGGAGGCACCACAGGAAATTCTGAGCCGGCACTGTTCTGCTGTGCAGGATCTACAGGACCTAAAATCCAACCTCCAATCGGAAATCGAAATGCAGAGCTGAAACAAGAGCTAAGCAGGCTACTGAAGTAGGCACAGCTTGAGAGGCTCCCCACAAAAAGCCTTGCCATCAGTGACAAGTGAACATCGTGTCCCACAAGACATAAGAACCAAAGAGCTATTAGCACAACTACAAAACCTTGTCCTTAGACATAGCTCTGGGAAGAAAAGAATCAAAAACTTCTACCCAGAACAGAGTAAAACAAAATACAACATGGCCAAAGAAGTTTTCCCTTTGTACTAGAGGTTCTTTTTTTAAATTTAATTTGTATAAGATTAAAAAATTTTTTAATATGTTTTTATTGATTTCAGGGAGAGGAAGAGAGAGGGAGAGAGGGAGAGAAACAACAATGATGAGAATTGGCTGCCTCCTGCAAGCCCCTAACTGGGGATGGAGCCCACAACCCAGGCATGTATCCTGACTGAGAATTGAACCATGACCTCCTGGTTCATGGGCTGACGCTCAACCACTGAGCACACTGGCCAGGCTATTTTTATTGAAATATACCTGAAGAACAATGCACCTACACCAGATGTGCACATGAAGTTCTTTTGCTTATCTTGGGGGCTTGAAAATGGCCTCTGCCAGTTAAAATTCCAGCACAATGCCCAGACAAGACTTGTCTAATGTTTCTTTGACAGGATGGATGTGATGTAATAGCATGAGCTCCTTACTTTGCACTATTCTCTCTGGAGGGTGAAAAACACCAGCTCTGGTTTGAAGTTTGGCACAGAGTCCATCAGTGGCCAGTGATGAGGCACACTTGCAGCATCTGAGGTCTCAGGGACTCTGGCTGCCCCCAGAAGTCACCGGGAAGGATGTCACAGTGAGGCTCCCTGATAACCCACCCGACCTGACTGTAAGGAAAGAACAATAGGATTGAGGATAACTGAGGAAGAGTAAACATGAACTCAGCACAGCAAATGTACCTTTGACTGAAAGAACGTTCTCCCCAGGTGGGTGAATTGCTGGCCCTCAGGATGGTGGGCCCAGGAGGGCAGACCTATCTGCTCTGAAGGGGGAAGACCGCCTTCCTCAGGCTGCCCTTTCACCTAAAGCCTGTGCTGTGGCCTCTGAAGGTCTGCTCGTGCTGAGCAACCCAGGGCACCAAAGACTGACCCTTCTGCGTTTTCCCTGGAACCAGCGCAGCTGGAGGCAGCCCCCCAGGACACTGTCTCTTGAGTGAGCAAGCACGCCCTCCCATCCTTCCACTTGAGCCCGAGACTCAGTACCTTCCCAGGTAGGGCCAGAGCAGAGCAAAACCAGAAACAAAAGCTGAGAGTCTGAGAAAATGCCTTCATTTACTACCTGACCCATCAAGCCCATGGCTCCACACTGTTGCTCTGTGAGGCAAATGGGGTGGGAGCAAACTTTAGATATATTGGCAGAAACTCAAGGCACACACAGTGGATCTGGAAGAATATATGATGGGTTGGAGAAAAATGTCCTCTCTTCCCCACAGACTGGGGGGTTTGGGAAAGCGAAGAGGGTGGACATTTCTGGGGTCCCTGAGAAGGAGCTGTTCTGAAGCGGGGGGAAGAATGACTAATACCCCAGAGAAGTTTGGAGGGGAAAGAGTAGAAGAGCCCTGGGCCCCATATTTCCTGGGTAAAGGCTGGGAAAACTGTACGGCTCAGAGTAGAACAGGCCACTTGCTGTCCATCTGGGCAGATGGGCTTGGGACAGCCCCACAGAGCTTCCTGAAGCCCAGAGGGTGCAGGCCCAGGAGCTAGGATGTTCTTATGCCCCAAGAGCAGGCAGGCCCAACGAGGCTTCATGGTAGGGAGTGAGGGGGCATCAAGCAGGGGCCATGCCCACCAATGACCAGCCAAGTGACAACCAGATGGAATGGGGATATTTTAGCAGGAGCTGACATGGATGGTTGATGAAGACTGAGGAACAAATTCTCATACTATTGAAAGCCTTCCCCCCATCACCTAACTTAACCCCAGGAAAAGTTGGAAGGGGAACCCAAAACTGACTGAGATTCATTTCTACCACCTGGTAAATGAGGCTTCATAATAGAAATTACATTCAGTGTTAGAAAAATAAAGTTATGTTTCTTGCAGAATAGAGTTTATGGTGTGAGTTGTAGCTACTATGTAAGTAATATTTTCTTTATGGTTTTGTTATAAATAAAAGATGAAAAAGACATTTTGGTGGAATAACACTCTGCACAAAAGTAACGCCACTTGCAATGTTTGCTAATTACAGATTTTCCTTCTGTATCTTCGAATTCAGAAAGTGCAGGGGTCTTGCCACAAGATCAAATGACTGTAGCATTTTCTGAGCGAAACGTATAAAACCTAAATTTGTGTGTTGTTCTTTTTGTCTTTGTTTTCTCTATGTCCATCGTCAGTGATCTGAATACAGGGCCATCACTGGGAACCGAGAACACTGTTTGCAAGGGAGAGCTGAGGAAGAGAATGGAGGGAGGGCCACTCTAACAGGCAGTTCTACAAGTAACTGCTGCTCCATGGTGCCCCCAGCAGCCCTGAAACGACAGTGCAGGGGGAGTAGGAGGTCAGAGGTTCTCCAGGGGGAAGAACAGCTGGGGCTCTTAGGAGCTTCGAAGAATCCTGAGCCCCTGACTATACCCATGTGCTGAGGGCTCGTGGCCCCACTGGGGCCAGTCACAACCCAGGTTGGGGAAGGTGATGTGGGTGGACAGGGAGCAGTGGGCCTTAGGGCAATCCCAGTGCCTCTGATTCAGGGATCTCTAGGCTTGACTCAGCTGTTCTCCTTAATGTCATCATCCCATAGTGCACTGGGCATTCCCGAGGGCTTCTGGGAGAATAGTCAGGGCAAGGGCATTTAGGGAGGGCTGGAGAAGCCTGTGAGGAAAAGAGAAGAAGATGGTGACTAAATGGCCTCTGAGAGGAGGTTGCCTTTCCAATATGGGAACCTCAGTCTTGCCATTCACTGCTAAGTAGGTTAAATTTTCGCCCCACCCTTATGCCAACCCTTAGCAAACACACTCCCAGGAAAAAGTCTGAGATCACGTGGAATTTACTGAGATGAGTATTTAGAAACTCCCTCCTTTTAGCCTTAGTTTTTACTGAGTGGGGAAATTCCATTCATTCAACAAATGTTTAACTTGCTTCCTTCCAGTAGTGGAATTCCAAGCAGGTGGGAATTGATTTGTGAGAGGGCAGGTTAATCTCCCCAGAGTGCCTGAAGTCACATCACACGGCCCTTGTCTTTACCTTGGCCCCTGTGCATCCCTCTTATGAGGGGCTCTAGGACCTCAACTAAAGAATGGAACAAAATGCCCAGCTGATGTGACTCAGTGGTTGAGCATCGACCTACGAACCAGGAGATCACAGTTAAATTTCCAGTCAAGGCATATGTCCGATTGCGTGCTCAATCCCCAGTAGGGGGCATGCAGGAGGCAGCCAATCAATGATTCTCTTATCATTGATGTTTCTATTTCTCTCCCTCTTTCTTCCTCTCTGAAATCAATACAAATATATTTTAAAAAAAGAAGAATGGAACAAAGTGGTGGCCCCATGGTGAGTCCTGACACTCATAGTTTTTACAGGGCTGCTCAGCTATGAGCTGGGCCACTCCCATCCTCAGGGTGCCTCAATCTGAGATCTGGGAGACCAGAAAGACTGAGGGGCTGGTGCTGAGGCCAAAAGCCCAGGGCAGAGCCTACCTGAACCAGAGTCGAACCAGCTAATGGGGGTGGGGGAAGATGAAGGCCGACGCCCGGCTCTCTTCATTGGCTCCGCTTGTGGAAGGCAGTCTGGGAATGAGGACTCATATTCTCAGGCACTGAGGGCCTCAATGCCAGCAGGGCTGAGCACCAGTGCCTGAAGGATGTCGGATAGGGACACCACGCCCAGGAGATGCTGGCTCTCATCCACTAGCACCAACCGGTGTACCTGTGGGTCCACAGAGGTTAGATAAGGGGGCAGGGCCATGCAGCTCTGGCACCAGTGAGGTTGGCATCAAGAATCAGGAAAAACAACTGGACATAACTGGGAGAGCAAGAGGGTGCCTCTTAGAAATCAGTTAAGGTTCTGACTTCTCTGTGTGATCAGATGACTGTGGCCCATGGCACATGGGCCAATGAACAAGACCAGCTGCAGACCAGTGTGGACACCAAGAGCTTGGCCATGAGATAGGAGGACAGGGCAGGTGCCCAATGTGTAGGAAGAGCTGGAGCAGTTCATGAGAAGGATTGGACCATATGTGTTAGGAACATGTATGAAGGGCACGGGGTACCTGCTCCCGGACAATCCGGTCGATGACTTCCCCCAAGTTCTCTTTGGGCTGGCAGGAAAGGACTCCCTCCAGACACAGCGTCCTCTGCCTCAGTGCTTCCCCCACACTCATGTCTAGGTGGTTGTAGGTATGCTGGGCAGCCAGGTGCTGGGCAGGGAGGGAAGTATCGCTCTTAGTCACCCCTTCAACCAGGCTCTAGCCCAGTGGATATCATCTGCCACACACTCAAAAAGGTCCCCCTGTTCCACAGATGACTAATTCTCACACCCACAGCCTCCCTGCAGCACCCTCAGCTCCAGCTCCCCTCCATTCCCCACAGACACTTACGATCACATCGAAGCGGGAGTAGAGGCCCACGACCTGACCTGCAGGTGGGGAGAGAGAGAGACAGAAGAGGTTCAGATCAGAACCAGGATGCTGTGCGAGGGCTTGGGCTGGGCTTTTGGAATAAACTCCTTGATACCCACCCCCGCCCACCCTTAGACTACTAGCTTTATGATGAAGCATCAGGTGGCCATTATCTGAACCCAAATCACACAGCATCACGGAGACAACCTGCCATCATGCCTCCTGACACAATATGAGCACATTGAGTCACCTATGAAATGTTCTAGCCTGGATCTGATAGAGTCTTAAATCTAATTTCTGGTTTACAGGAAACAGGAATAGAGGACAGTTAAAGGCCACCTGTAGGAAGCAAACGGGCAGAGCTGGGGGTGGATGGAACATTCTATAGGACAACTGACCCAGGCTTTTCATCATCAATATCATAAAAATTAAGTGGGGAGGGAACTGTTTTGAGTTAAAAGATTTAAAGGGCAAAAGGAGCAAAATATAGGCCTTAATTGATCCTGGTTTGAACAAATCAACTGTATGTATTTGTTCTTGGGGAAAATAGGGAAATGAGAATTAGAATTAGATATTAGATAACATTAATAAATTATTTATAGTTTTGTTAGGTGATAGAGGAAATATTTTAAGAGATGCAAACTGAAATGTTTAGGCATGAAATGACATGATATCTATAATTTTATTTTAAATTACTTCAGCAGCCGAAACCGGTTTGGCTCAGTGGGTAGAGCGTCGGCCTGCGGACTGAAAGGTCCCAGGTTCGATTCCGGTCAAGGGCATGTACCTGGGTTGCGGGCACATCCCCAGTGGGAGATGTGCAGGAGGCAGCTGATCGATGTTTCTCTCTCATCGATGTTTCTAACTCTCTATCTCTCTCCCTTCCTCTCTGTAAAAAATCAATAAAATATATTAAAAATAAATAAATAAATAAATAAATAAATAAATTACTTCAGCAAAAGAAAAGAAAAGAAAAGAAAAAGAACTGATTATGGCAATATGTTAACTGTCAATCCAGGCAATGGATATGTGGGATTCATTATATAGTGTTTTCTACCATTTTCATGCATTTGAAATTTTTCATGATAAAAAATAAATTAGAATACTTCTTGATATGTAGCTTCATTGTGGCAATTTTAACTTTTAAATCATTTATAACCATGGTTTACCAAAGAAGTGGTCTTGTAATTCCTCTGACCCTTTTTCAGAGTAAGAAATCGAGGTCTGAAAAGGTCCCATGGCCCATTTTAGGATGAATTAAAATGAAAAACCTCATCTACTATTTCCTCTCATTTTGTTCATTTGATGGCACATAAACCTTTAAAATCATCCTTTGGCCCTAGCCGGTTTGGCTCAGTGGATAGAGCGTCGGCCTGTGGACTGAAGGGAACCAGGTTCGATTCCGGTCAAGGGCACATTCGCAGGTTGTGGGCTTGATCCCCAGTAGGGGGCGTGCAGAAGGCAGCCGATCAATGATTCATCATTGATGTTTCTTTCTCTTCCCTCTCCCTTCCTCTCTGAAATCAATAAAAATATGTTAAAAAATAAAAAAAAATAATAAAATCATCCCATTCTAGCCTGGATCTGATAGAGTCTAAATCTAATTTCTGGTTTACAGGAAACAGGAATAGAGGACCAGGTAAAGGCCACCTGTTGGAAGCAAACAGGCAGAGCTGGGGGTGGGGAAGGGGAGTGTGTAGAGCAAGTCAGAAGATGGGTGTTGTTAAGATGCCCACTTTATACATGAGGAAACTGAGGCACAGAGAGGCTAAGTAGGCTCAAAGCAGGCAGAGACTTCTAACCCAGACTCCACCCTGGGCCCTGAGCTGATGCCACATAGACCTCTGCCCCGCATGGCCCCCCCGCACCCCTAAGTCCTATCCTGGAGTGGGTACCATCTTCGTTGATCACAGGCAGTGCAGACACATGCCGGTCCACAAAGATGTCCAGTGCGGTCAGGATGGGTGCCGTCTCAAGCACCACAGCCAAGTCTCGGAATGTGCCGATGCCCAAATCTTGGATGGTTCGGTAGAGGAATGGGGGCCGGGGCAGCAGATCGCCCTGGTTGGGTTGGGGACAGGTGGTGCCATCAGGGTGAGCAGCCTCCAGGGCTCCCAGCTGCCCCCTTCCCAATGATCAGGTCACCCCTAGGCTCACAAAGATGTGCAGGAACTTGAGTAGCCGCTTGTGTGTGATGATGTGGAGCACGTCGCCTGATACCGGGTCCAGGACAGGCAGGCGGTGTATCCGGTTCTTGATAAGGGTGTAGACGGCTTCAAATAGGCTGAGGGGTGGGAACAGTGAGCCTGAGGCAGCCTGGGAGAGACACCCTGCATCCCAGTCCCTAGGCGAGAGGACAGGTGCTGAAGCTGCCTTGTGGGCCTCCCAGGATGAGAGGTATGTTCAGAACTGAGGGGTGGGGAAGGGGACTGTGTAGAGCAAGAAGGCTCAGGTGGGTGATTGGGATGCTTACCTGTCATTGGGAGAGATGGAGACCAGAGGCTTGATGCAGCCTTGAAGGTAGATCTCTGAAGAAAAAGCCGAGTCAGGCCAAGGGAACCGGCTAACCTGCCTTACCACATAGCCCACCAGTGCATCCCCTCCCTCAGGCCCCCTGGGCTCCCTGTCACCCTTCCTCTGCTTCGTCCAGGAAATCCCCACAGCCCGTCCTCTCCCACGCCCCTTGGTCCCACACCCACACACCCTCAGCCCCTTTCCGGGTCCCCTCGGACCGCTCACCCCTCCAGGTCTCAATCTTATGCTCTTCAATCTCATAGATCTGGACCTAGAGACATAGACAGGCCTCCAGAAGTCAGACACAAGCCCCTGGGGCACCAGGTTCCCTGAACTCCCCACCACCCAGCCCAGATGGGTGCTCGCTGGACTCCCAGCCCATTCCTCACCAGGGGGGACCTGTAATAGCGATGCAGCACCAAGATGAAGTCTGTGATGGTCAGCATCCCTGTGGGGTGGGGGATGGGGTATTGGGGCGTCAGCCTGGGGCCTTGTGGTGGGAGGCAGGGTGAGGGGCCAGACTCCCCCGCCCCCTCCGGGCCCTCCAATGTCCTAGTACTGAGACAGCAATGGGAATTGTGGGAGGAGGGGAGTAGAGCACCCCCCCCCCGCCACCCCGCCGTGCCTGAGGAATGGGGTTCTCCCTTTCTCCTCCAATTTCTCTCCTCCCCCCACACCCTTTTCTATTCTCCTAAGTTCTTCCCTTCCCTTTTCCCTTTTTCTACCTAGCACCTATGACCTGGGACCGTGGGGTAGTAGAGCTGGAGGGGTCACTCCTCCCCAGATGGGAAAATTAAATGCAGAACCACCACACAAGGTCCCTCCTCTGAGGGACCCTTCCCCACCCCTCTGCCTCCCAGCCCTCCTCACCCACAAAGCTCTGCTTCTTGCTGTCCCATAGAGGTGCGGCCCGGACACCGTTGGCCACCAGGGCGAAGAAGGCCTTCTTGATCTGAGGGCCAGGGAGAAGCCGAGGTGAGTCTCTCACTGCCCCCGGTAGTCCCTTGTCCCGACCAGGGTTCCTTCTCACAGGTCCTCCTCCACACCAGCTAGCGGCTAGCCTGTCTTCCTCATAATCCCTGTCGGGGATGTTTACTACAGAGATAAGGCTGCTGGTGGCCAGAGGCACTGGGGTGATCCCCTCACCAGGCACCAGGGTGTGAAAACAACTGTGTTTCCACTCAGAAGTCATATGTGTACAGGCACACACGGTATAATTTTTCTAATATAAGTACTAGAGGTATAACTATTTTGTTGATTTACAAAATACTTTTATCTAAATAAATTTTACATTGACTCATTTTGGCCTTACCTAAGCAATGCTATCTAAACATCCTGTTTGTATTTCTAATACATATTAAAATAGATACAAAGCTACTGATATAAATATATCTATTCACAAGTCACTAGAATCAAATCATGTACTGTGGACGACACATATTCCATGCTTTGGGAAACACTGTTTTACTACACGTGATGATACGAATGGAATTATAGGCATGTTGTAGCTCAGCCAAGGGAGAACAGGGGCCAGAGCTCATCCTATTTATATGGTATGAGAGTCGCCTGCTCTGTGCCCTAAGCCATTCTGGAATATCTTCCACATCGTTCAGGGTTTGCAAAGTGTTCCTACCTATCCTGGGATGTCGTAGGAGTCCTTTGCATTCCTACCCCCGTTGTAGAGATGAGAGAGGTAACGTGGCTGACCCAAGACCCCAAGCTACTAAGTGGCAGAGCTGTGCTGACAGTTAGGGGTTGCTCACAGAGAGGAGCAGCCCTGCCCACACTGGTCTCCAGGGTGCTAAGAAGGAGCTTGGAAGGGGACCTGCTGGGAGGCCTGGCCTGGCTAGGTATCCTGGTGTGTGAGTGGTGGTGCAGCCCCGTGAGGATGGAGGTGAGCAGAGCTGTGGCCTCACCTCCAGCGTGGTGTCGAAGATGACCAGCTTGGAGCTGGTTGCCATGGCATCGTAGCAGGTGTGCTTCTGCATGAAGTGCATGTAGACCTGGGCTCCCGGCTTCTGCAGTTCATCGTCCAAGCCCTGCTTGGGTAATGGGGCCTGCGGGGATGGGCACGGGGCAGGCCTCTCTTCCACCAGGCTGAGCTCAGACCTGCAAGCTAGTGTGGCTGGGAACTCTTTGCTGGAGCCCGTGGCTGAGACTGCGCACTCAGAGGGGAGGATGTCCAAGGGAGCAGCCTGGGCCAAGGGTGTGGCCTTGGGGAATGTGGACTCCAGCCCGATGAACTCAGCAGCTGGCCTGGATTGGGGACCTGTTTGAGGGGGAGAGGACAGTAATTCCATCACCCAAAGCACCTTATTATGTGCTGTCTCAGTTTATCCTCAGAGCAGCCTGGGGAAGCCTGGATGTTGGGGGCTCCATTTTGCAGATGAGAAAGCTGAGTCTCAGGGAGTCACATGAGACAGTGGTGCTGTCCCGAATAACCCATGTTGAGTCCCTGGCTCTGCAATGTGGTACTCCTCTTCCGTGTGGGGAGACTGAGGCTGCAAGACGAGGGTTGGGCCCAACTCTGTGTTTTGGAAGAATCAAGGACAAAACCCAGGCCCCAGGCTCTGGGGCTTCACACTGCGTGCACCCCGCCTCCCATTCTCCCTAGAATTGGTCTTGGCCTCACCTTCCCCCAGGCCTGGCAGGTCCTCTTCCTCCACAGCCTCCTGCCTTGTCCATCCTGAGGCCTTGGCCCCCCGCTTCCGATGGCTTCTTTCTGAGCTGGTGGTCATGGCAGGTGATGGCCACGGAGTGCTATCTCCTTGCTCCAGGAAGCTCATCTCTGGAAGGGGGAAGGGGGCCTGTTTGGTTAATAGGGAATAACATAACAGAATCAATTAAAATGTTATTAGTAGTAATGTTTAATATTTGCAAGCTTTCAAAGGGCCTTTCTTCAACATTTTCTCATCCAAACCTCATAGCAAGATTAGAGAGGTTGGCCGAAACCGGTTTGGCTCAGTGGATAGAGCGTCGGCCTGCGGACTGAAAGGTCCCAGGTTCGATTCCGGTCAAGGGCATGTACCTGGGTTGCGGGCACATCCCCAGTGGATGTGCAGGAGGCGGCTGATCGATGTTTCTCTCTCATCGATGTTTCTAACTCTCTATCTCTCTCCCTTCCTCTCTGTAAAAAATCAATAAAATATATTAAAAAAAAAAAAAAAAGATTAGAGAGGTTAAATAATTTGCCACAAATCACACAGCCAGTAAGTGATAAAGTCAGAACCAGGGTCTTCAGACTATAGGTCCACCTTCTCTTCATTTGAAAGAGGAAGGAGCAGGTGAGGAAAAGGAAGAAGAAACAAAGAAGAACAAAAAAAGAAAAGGGGAGGAAGACCAAAGCCAGGCTAGTGGAGTGGGTGAGATTGGGGGCCCACCAGGAGGGGACTGCCCACCTACCTTGATGCTGAGAACCCACCAGGCTGCTCCAGGATGGGGTCTGTGGGGAGAAGAATGTCTGAAAGGGTGGGAAAATGCCCTACGTTCTGGAGCACAGGTCCTTCCCTTCCCACGGTGCACACGTAAACACACATACACATGCACCTCACAAACACATATAAACATATAAACACTCACCCCACAAACACACATAAACCCACGCACCCATACTCAAATACTAATACACATTAGAAACAAACAAATGCAACCACTCCCAGGTACACTGACTTACACAAAGAATATATACACACAGACACCCACATGCTCTATACTGAGAAAATCCAGGTCACACACACACACACACACACACACACACACCCGCGTACGTGCACACATTCACACAGTGTGGTGTGTTCCCCCTCACGGCCTCCCTGGGACCCCTGTACCGTGTTCAGTGAATGCTCCAGCTCGGGCTCCATGGGGCCAGCCGGGCCTACGAAGAGCAAGTGCTGGCCACTGTGGCTGGGCAGCACTATTCTGGGCCTGGCCCCTGGCACCCTGCCCTCCCATATCAGTTTCTCTCTGGGTGTCAGGCAGCTGGGAGGGAGGGGTCCACCGGCTCAGCTGCTCCAGCCCAGCAGCCTGGGGGCAGGGTGGAGAGGGCTGGGGCAACCTGGAATCTTGATATCTGGTCCTGGGCCGCCTTCTAGATCTCTGAGGACAAACAGGAAGGACCCTGCTGTGTATGGGGGGGAGGGGAGAGGGAGGGCCGGGGAAGGGCTTGGAGCAATGTGGGGCATTGGGGCTAGGAAGTGGGTTCCTCCTCTGAGGGCCTCTCTCATCTTTGTCAGATGGCAAATGAAGGAAAATAGAGGCGGGTTGAGCTTACCTTTCTTCCTTGTACCAGCTTCAGTCAGGGGTGGTGTTAGAGTTAGAAAGGGCAGTTGCAGCCAGCTAGCTGGGAGGCTGGGGATACGGAGTTTGTGGGTGGTTCCGGGAGAGTGACCAATATGTGTCCGGACGTCCCCATTTGAGACCCAGGAGCCTCAGGCAGGTGGGAACCTGTGACGATCCTCTTGAAGGTGTGCCATGGGCTTGAGGGCTTGGGACCTACACTTGTCCACAGGGTGACAGACACCTGTTTCTGCCTGTGGTTTGAAGGTAAGTCCAGGTGTGCAGCAGCCCAACCCCCTCATCCTGCTGTGCCTCCTGTCTCTACGTCTTCTGGTGCCAACAGGATCCCAGCCTGGCTCTGGTGGCTGCCCACCCCCCTTCCTTGGCATTCCTGGGGCCTGAGTCAATGTCCAAATCAGGAATGCTGACCCAGCTGCTCTAGCTCCTCTCTCTCTGCCCCTCCCCTTCCTCTTTTTCTTCCAGTCTCTTCCATCTTAGTCTCTGGCCCTGGAGTGGACACTTGGTAATGGATTACTGGATTTCTTGCTGAATTCATTGAATATATTTTCCATTCTCCCTCAAAGCCCCTGTCCTGCCTAAGGATGGGGGTGGGGAAGAACACAGCAGGGAAGAGACTGTGCCCATCCATGTGTCTTGGATAGTGGAGGGGTGAGTGCAACTCTCCTTCCACAGGATCCCTGTCAGATGATGGAACTTCTAAGGCACAGCTAATGGGACACCTCAAATGGTAGAAAGATTAAGTGGACAATCCCTGGAGGTATCCGATGCATCAGACTTGGAAAACCCCCACCTCCTTTTGCTCCCCAGGCCACCCTCACAGACAAACCAGATACACATCAGCTCACACCATCACCTTCTCTTGCAATACTCTGTGGTCCCTCCACCTCAGATATGGTTTACCTACAGGGCCAGTAGGCACCTTTTCAGTCTTCCCTGATTGCATCACCCTCACTGCAATGGTCTGTGAGTGTTCTTTGGACGCATTTCAGCGTGCACTGGACTGGCATTTACATAATGAATCACATGCAAATATCTTTTATCTCTAAGTAAACAGTGGGCACCTTGATGATCAAATTTGTTGGCTGGATGTGATGCAAAGCCTGTTTGGGGGTCAGACAGACCTGATGAAAATTTATGCTCTGCCCTTGGCTGGCCATATGACCTTGGCAAGCATTGCTCACTTTCTTCCCGCCTGTTTCCACGAATGTAAAATGAAGATAAAAACATTAGGTGGCAGAGACTACCAGTTGCCTCCCAAAATCTATTTTCCTCTTCTTCCTTTAGTAATAGAATCACTTGAATTTTAGTGGGAATGGCTGCCTGTTATAAACACAAGTTCCCATCTATCTTGCAGCTAAATATGGCCTTGTGGCTAAATTTTGCCAATGACATATATGTGTGGAAGTGATGTGAGCAACTTCCAGGTCAGGCCTTAAAAGAAAGAAACATGAGTTCTCCTTTTCACCCTTTGGCGACTGGAATGCTAATGTGATGGCAGGAGCTAGAACAGCTATCTTATATCAATTATGAAAGATGTTTATTAAGGGTTTCAGAGTCACACTACCAGGTTTGGATTGTCTATAGACTCTTATAAGAAAGAAATATAAACTTTCTTAAGTCATTTAAATTGGGGTCTTTGAGCCCTAGCCAGTTTGGCTCAGTGGATAGAGTGTTGGCCTGCGGACTGAAGGGTCCCGGGTTTAATTCCGGTCAAGGGCACATGCCCGGTTGTAGGCTTGGTCCCCAGTAGGAGGCATGAAGGAGGCAACCGATCAATGATTCTCTCTCATCATTGATGCTTCTATCTCTCTTTCCCTCTCCTTTCCTCTCTGAAATCAATTAAAATAAAAATGAAGCCCTAACCGGTTTTGCTCAGTGGATAGAGCGTCAGCCTGTGGATTGAAAGGCCCCAGGTTCGATTCCGGTCAAGGGCATGTACCTTGGTTGTGGGCACATCCCCAGAAGGAGGTGTGCAGGAGGTAGCTGATCGATGTTTCTCTCTCATAGATGTTTCTAACTCTCTATCCCTCTCCCTTCTTCTCTGTAAAAAAATCAATAAAATATATTTTTAAAAAATGAAAAAGAACTCCTGGGGGCCCAGTCCTAGGGGTTCCCCACACTTAAAAAAATAAAAATAAAAAGGATCTTTGTTACAATAACCAAACATGTATATTAACTAATGCAAAATTGGTATCTGGAAGCAGCACTGCTTTAAAAGCCTAAGACAAGTGTCAGTGGTTTAGAGAATGGACAGAAGAAAGCAAAGAAATATATTGTATGCAGGTAAGCTGGTGACCATTGTTATGTTACAGCAAAACATAGGACATGTCTGTCATCTATGATCCCTTGAAAGATAAGCATATGTAAACACTCACGGAAACTGAGCAGAAACACTGAGATTGTTGGTGTGTATTGGCTGCTGCTTGCTGCTACAAGCAAAGTCCTACAAGACAGATGCACTCAGGCTAGTTCTAAGAGATAGTTTGGAGCAGGCAGGTCTAGCAAGGGCTGTATCTGTGGTCCCAAATCTTTCTCAAGCTTACCCTGTTCAGCAAACAGTGCAAGCCGGCTCAGTGGGCAGAATAAGGGAGTCCCCTTCAGAGCCAAGCATATTTGTTTCAGCTGGCCTCAAGATAGCCACCAGCAGTGAGAGAAAGATTAGGAAGTACACCAAGTTCAGCGTATTCAAGCATAAAAGTTATCTCTATATGAGCTCATTGGCTGTGGTTACTCAAATATGGAACCAGTCAGAAGACTTCTAAGATTTTAAAGACATTGTTTTCACAAAGAAACCACAGTCTGGATAGCAAACTCTGATTTGACACCCCAACCCCCAGTTATTCCCACTCCCCCAAATCTGCACCAGCAGGAGGAGGGCTGTGAAAGTTGTAAGGTCTGCAAGAAGGCAGATATGTTCTTTGATGCAGCTGCAGAGGATCTTGGGTAAAGAAAACTTCCCAGGAGGTAATGCCAGAGGCCACAGGGGAGAGTAGACAGGGGAACTCCTCCCAGACAGCAGAAGCAGGAGTGGCCAGATGCACTGCCCAACTTACTCCATGGCTAGGAGGCAGCTTTGCAGTTCCTACCCGACTGGATTTAGTAACTGTTAAGATCCAGTGACTGCTGGGTGTTTGCTGTTCTTTCTTGTTGAGTGGATGTATTTGTTTGTTATTATAATTAGAATTTTTTCCAATTACAGTTTACATTCAGTATTACTTTGTATTAGTTTCATGTGTATAGCAAAGTAGTTAGACAATCATATAATTTGCACAGTATCCCCCCTGATATTTCAAGTACCCAACTGGCACCATACATAGTTATTCCATTACTAGTGGCCCGGTGCACGGATTCGTGCACATTGAAAGGAAATTAATTACCACAGCTCAGCAGTAAACCAGATTCAGGACCGACAGTGCCCCAGCAACAACATAACCCACGGCCGAAGGTGGAACACATGGCCCCCATGAGGAATCAGGCTCCTTCCTCTCTGGTTCTGGGGTGCGTCACCCAAGAAACACTGCTGCCAAGTCATCACAGCTCGGCAGCTCCTGTGTCGAGCGTCTGCCCCCTGGTGGTCAGTGTGCATTATATGTACCGACTGGTCAGATGGTCAGCCAGTCAGATGGTCATCTAGCCTTTTATATATAGAGATTATTGACTATATTTCCTATGCTGTACTTTACATCCCCATGATGATTTTGTAGCTACCAATCTGTACTTCTCAATCTCTTCCCCTTTTTCACTCAGTTCCCCAACCTTCCTCCCTTCCGGTAACCATCAGTCTTTTTCTGTATCTCTGAGTCTGTTTCTGTTTTGTTTGTTCATTTATAGTGTTCTTTAGATTCCACATTAAGAGAAATCATATATTAGTTTTTTTCTGACTTATTTCACTTAAGTGTTGCAAATGGTAAGATTTTGTTCTTTTTTATTGCTGAGTAATATTCTATTGTATATATGTATATATGACCTACAGTCTTTTTATCCTTTTGTGGGTGTTTTGAGTTTATCTTGTTCTTTCTCCACTGTTGTTTATGGGGAATGGGAGGGCCAGATTGCCTGCCTTTGGTTTACAAGTCACTAGACCATGAGGACCTCATCCGCACCTGGTCCCTCGGAGGTCCTAGGCTCTGGGCTGGTGCTGTGTCTTGGAACCCTGCCTTTCCTCCCTCTGAGGGGTCCTGAATGTGCTTGTTGTAAGGGGTGGACAGACGTTGAATTCTGGCAGAGTAATATCTATTTCCTCCTCCTTCTTCCTCTATTAGTAAACCCTTACAATTTTAACTAAGAGCAAGATTATATTTCCCAGCTTCCTTTGCAGATAAGATGGCCATATGACTAAGTTTGGCCAATGGGATCTGAGCAGCAATGTTATATGTAACCTTTAAGGGTGCTGTTAGATGGAAGGGGTTGATTTCCCTTTTCCTGCTGACTGGAATTAAGATATGATGGTGGGAGCTGAAGCAGCCATTTGAACCTAATGGTAGAAGATGCAAGTTGAACATGATAGAACCCCCCACCCTCGTGCTGGCCTGCCTACCTATCCCTGGACTGCTGTATTATAAGGAGAAATAA